TAGAAACCGCGATTAAAACACCTCCGCCCTCTTTTTTTGTGCGATAGGTCAGTATCGCATCTATCTCTCCTATAAACTACGTAACGATCATCAAATAGCTCATCACTTAGTACAGAGTTATTAAGCCACGTTTCGGTTATAAACAACATATCAAAATCATTACATGCAACTTGCCGGTAAAACTCATGAGTTTTAGTTTTCAAACCACGAGTATTCTGGTAGTATATTTGCAAATTATAGTTAGGCTTTGAAAACAACTGCGAGTCTACTGAGGAAGCTAACACAACCTACTCCAAAGTATTTAAGAACTCCATATTATTAATAACAATGTAACGCGATTCTGCGTTCTTTCTTACAAAGATGCGTCCATTACGAATCCACACAAAACTATATCCCTTTTCCTTGGCCTTAAGCCTAGTCGCAGCGTGCAGAGCCTTGTTGGCAGGGGATAGATGCTCGCTGATGTAAATAGGTGTTGAATTGCAAGAGAGACCAATGTGAGTAGTGTTAAGTTTATTTGTTGAATTTTTCTTATTAAACATTGTCACTGCTGCCAAAAACTGGTCTCTCAATCTAGGGGATGATAACTGAACCACAATAGACCGTGGGCGAGTATTGGCTCGGTTAACCTTAGCAACACGAGTAAAATGCATAATATCACTATCGACGATTTCGCAACCAATCACCTTTCCAACACACTTAATCAACTCCAAAAGATTCTCACTTTTACGTTCGGGTATACACTGAATTTCTATGTTGGTTTGGCGCAGTTGTTGCTCCAAGTTGTTACACCGCAAAAAAAGATTCTGAACGTTACTTTTTAATTCAGCATTTTCGCTTTCCAGTGTCGTAATTTTAGATTCCGATAATTCGTTTCGCTTAACAGCGTCGCTGCAGAGGCTGTTCATTAAAGCCATGGACTCCGTGAGCGAACAGATTTGATCTCGAAGGGGTTTGATCTCATTATTAATGGTATCGTTAAATTTGCTCAAAGTATCAGCCAAAATCTCCTTAAACACCTCCTGGACAATGTTCCTAATATCCTCACGAGTAATGTTCACCGTGTCCTTGGCCATCGGTGGCGAGTTAAGAGCTACTCTTTTGTTGCCCCTCGTTGTGCTTATGTTACGAACAGGGGTATCGTCGGTTTTTGATACGCGAATATTCTCAACACATTCCGGGCAGGTCCATATTTTTTCCATCTCTGTACTTACGGATGAAATATCTAGTGCCAAACATGCATAGTGAAAAGCTTTAGAACACTTTAGACAAGTTACATAACTCTCACCATCTATATCTGACGAACAACAGCCCCAGTTAATGAGTATATCCATCATTAATATTTGCTGTAAAGTTGGGGGGTATTCGAAAGTTATTGTACAAATGTGATGAACCAACGCCGGTAAGTACAGTTGATATTGCACGGAAAAGTAGATCTTATAGCAACATACGTGCGTCTAAATCACACTGCAGCAGCTCGCCTTAACAATTATCCTCTGCGATGTCACTGATGTAAACACTGAGACGTAATCCTTTACACCGTGATATCTCAAACGGCAAATAATCCTTAGGATAGTTTTTTATCACAACAGAAGCAGTTTTTTTTCTACTTTCTACTGATATATATCACTATAAATATAAAACTTTTATTTACTTATACTGAAAAAAAATTTTAATATTGCTTAAGGGGGGGGGGGGGGGGGGCGGGGGTTTTATTACCTTGAAAAAGGAATTTTTTAAAACCCGGATGGTTTTTTAGGTGTGAGTGGGGGGAAAACACCCATTGTAAAAATTTTTTAATTTTGGGCGGGAAAAGTAAAATTTTAGGTAAAAATTTTGTTTAAAAACCAAGGGGGACGCCGGGAAAAGAAAAAATCCACTTAATGAAAAGTGAAATATCTGAACCATATAAGAGGCGCTGTCGATTTAGTTATGATCTTCCAGGTGGTTGGACAAATCCCCTCATAGCGGAGTGGTTTGCGGCCTACGCCCGCGTCGCGTACACACTGTTCGGTGACCGGGTGAAAACCTGGATCACAATTAACGAGGGGGTCATAGTCTGCGAAGCGACTTACACCTTGGGCGGCTTCGCACCTGGCATTTCGAGTCCATTCCTCGGCAGTTACATGTGCAATAAGAACGTTTTACTTGCTCACGCTCGTGCTTGGAGAATTTACGATGAGGAGTTCAGACCTGAACATCATGGTGAGGTTTTTGTTTAACGATAGAGGAGGACATGATATACCCCACTGTATGTAAACAAAATGCGCTGTCGGCCTATTTTTACTTTCGAAATTCCGGCCACCCATTTAATATGCAGATTGCCAGACGAAGTCTTTTGGACAAAAGCAGATACAATTTACATCTATCTATACTAATATAAAAAACGAAAGAGTTTGTTTGTTTATTTGTTTGATTGCGCTAACCTCAGGAACTACTGGTTCGAATTAAAAATATATTTAATCGTGTAATGAAAACGTCCTATATATATACTGACTATCTTCAAGATTAACTTGCAAAAACGACGGGACGCGACGGACGTCGTGTGTAGTGTAATTTATAAAGATGAAGAGTTAGTGGAGGTTTTCAAAAACAAAGTTGATGCCCTAAATGACAATTCTATGCGGACGAAGTCGTTGACATAGCTAGTCTAAACATGGACATAACAAACTCAATATTTAAGAAACGTTCGGACAAAATCAGTATCATTTCAGGAAAGGTATCCTTAACGAACCAGATACTTTGGGTACAGCCGTATTCAGAAGAGTACGAGGAATTAGCAGATCTTGTCATGCAGATGGTCGTAAGTTGGATTCCTGTTTTCTTCTATCTCTTATTGTTTTCAAATGATTACAAATTAATGTCTGAATGTTGTTCTTTAATATTATTATATGAATAATC